CTTTATCATTCATAAAATGGTAACAGAAGATACAACATTTACAGGGTTGGTGGACACCTCTGGACTGTGTGTGGTGTCTGAGGTATCAGGCTTCACATCTTTACCTCACCTGACCTAAATTCTACCATTCTTCTATTTTTAGAAAAGACCTTGAAATACAGCAGCTTGTGAGCCAGCCAGGAGCCCTCAGCATGTTTAACAAGACTCAACATCCCGCTAACCTTCTTTGTCCGTGGACTTGGAGATTAATGCAGTGATTAGGTGGCTTTCTTAGATGAAGTATTGTTTCATTTCAGCAATAGGAAAACTACCCTGCAATTTGAAACCAATTGAGCAGCCTAAAAGTATATCTATTTCCCTTAGGGCTCAATGTGTCTTGAAAAGCTAAGAAAACCTAACCATTTCAAATCCTCTTTCACTCCACACACCCCAGAGCCAACAACTGTACTTGACCTTCTCTTTCTAACTATTCTTCCATCTTTAGCTCTTAATTCTTGTGGAGCAGCTGTGTAAATATAGCTGGAACTAAGAAACCATAATCTTCACAGCTCAGAGATTATAATCTCTTACCTTCCTGAGCCGTGTGCAAGCAGGTATTTAGTCTGGAAGCACTGTCTGGCCTCTCTGCCTATTTTTTCTCTGCAGATTTTGGTTTTGCCTTTGTATAAAGGCAGCCTGTGAATACTCAGTGACTGTGCCATTCGCCAAGCCCTGTGGCAAGCCTGCAGACTGCAGGCAACATCACCTGGCCACCATGCAGGTACCTCATATCACTCACAGCCAGCACCAACAAAGCAGGACACTGCCAAGGAGGAAACTCAAGTCCTTAGTTTGCTGCTTGGCATTTTTACTTCTTTACAGTTGCTTTAAGATGACTGACATGCTTTAAAGAAGGGCAAGGTACTAGCCACATATCAGCCTATTATTTTGTTCCGATGGCCATGGGAGCCTACGACAAGCCCAGGCATCATTGCTGTGAAGTCAGGCTGTGTATTTCCCTTCAGTTTAAAAATACACCCAAGAGTTTATCTACACAGCTCTGCAGTCTTGTACTGCTCCCAAAAGTAAACACAGCCCGTAGAGCAGTGTGAGAGGGGCAGGCCTTCACATACCTGTTATCCGTCAGAATTAAAAATAAAATGCTTTCCTCATCCCCTAGACTAAACAAACAGGAGGCAATGCCCATTCATACCCCCCTACACATCCCTCTTCCAGCAGCAACAGAAGTTGCATTCGCTCAGGGACATAAAGCTATTGGCTTTCACAGCAGGGCTGTAAATTGTGACCCTCTTGAAAGATGAGACACCCACCAGTTAAGTGAACACATTGATCCAAAAACTACTTATTAATGCCTAGACTTCTCTCTCTAAGAGAAGTTAATCAGCATTATGAGCACACACTTGCTAGCCTTCGTGCACTGCAATCCACCCAGCTGAATCAAGATTGCATGTTAGGGTCGGCGCCCTGTATAGGGTATGCAGATTGCCTACATTGTCCACATTCTGCCTTACCAAGTCCTTCTTTGTAGCAATATCTAAATCCTCCTCTGATGCCAAGAAGGACATTCTCAACAAAAAGCTTCAGCCAGACTCTAATTAAACACCTTACTATTGTAAACAAATTATCCAAGATGCAGACAGCACGTGTGTGTGTCTGTGTCTGTGTGTGTGTCTGTGTCCCCCCCCAAGAATGCACAGCTGCCTTCACACAGACCTGCTGTGATAAAGAAGGGCTTAGCCAGCCCCCATCTGAACAGACCACTTGCAGCTCCTCGCTGCGCTGTGACCACTGCATCCCAGGTAGCAAACTCCTGCAGGACTGAAATGCTGATGGTACAGAAGCCCATAAGTCAGGCCTGTAGCTGCAGACTGGCGGTGGGTACTGCATTCCACATGAAGCACTGATCAATTGATCATATCTCAATAAAACATCAACATCTGAAGAGAGAAAGGTTTCACGTATCACCTGGCTGAAAAACAATATTTTTTCTTCTAATGCAAATGCACATTTTGTGCAACACAAAAATGATGTCAAGAACCTGAGGGAGCCTCACCATCCAACAGCACTTTTCTAGCTGAAACAGTCATAAGCTAGCACCCAGATGTGCAGCCAGAAAACAGACCAGGTCCTTGAAGGCTGGTGAACTAAAGGATCACACGTGCATAACCACGTGCTGGGGCAATGCCACACCAACTTTTGTAAGCTAAGACAAAAGTGATAAGTTTACATTATCTCACTTGCTCATTTTTTAACAGTGCTGCACTGATTTAGCTGTCATTCTGTCCCTCCTTAAAGTACAAGCAGTTTAAGAAATTTAACTTACCTAGTGCCTTGAAGAACAGTGTCATTTGTAGCCCATTTTAGGAAAAAAATCTGTAAAGTTTTAAGTTGTGTAACTCCAGCATTGCCACAACCTTACACCTGCTTATTCAGCTCCTTTAAAGCTTTTCTTACACGTACCAGTATTTAGGCCAGAATTGTCAATTCATCATACGGAAGAGAGTGATCCCAGGCTGACAGAACTACACCACCAGAAAGGTAACCAGCTAGGATACCAAATGCTCCACTGCAACCACCGTTTTGTTTGTAGTTGAAGACTCTTGTCATAGTAATAGAAAACACAGTTTCACAGTTACATCTGTGTATCTTACTCAGAACAGTTACTGTAACATTCCAGCAAAACAGTTCCAGTACAGATAAAGGTATAGCTTGAATGTAAAATTCATCCCCCACTCAGTTTTCTACTTTCAAGTCAGTATTAAGTACCACAATAACAACTATGTCATTTTAGAAACACTACTGTCAACCTTCTTTCACTTATTCCTGCAGAGAAAGATCAGTCATGTCTTTGTATTTAAAATAATTTGCTGAAGTTATTATACATCGAGGAGTTGTGGGACATTGTTACCAGATAAGCACGTTTAACACGCAGAACAAAATTACTGACTTTTTCAAGCAGGATGCCTTTTCAACTTCTCCCAACAGAAGCCTAAAGAATACTCAAAATGAAGCAATTATTATTTGGCACTACACAGTTTGTTTAGTGGGTACAAAGAGCCAGCCTGTCATCTCAACTTCCTCACCCTACTAGTATTATGTACCTGATAGGAAGAAAAATGTTAGACAAATTATACCAACTATGCTGCAAATTCATAGGGCTCAACATCACTAAAACAGCTTTTGCTCAAGATTGACTAGTAGTAACCTACTTTTTGATGTCCTGTCAGTTACATAAGCAGAAATGGAAAAAAAAAAAAAAAAAAATTCAGGTTGTTGAGAAATAGCTTTTTGTTCAAACAGCAATTTTGATTTGCAGGATAAATGAAGTTTGTCCTATGCTCAGGTTCTGAAACTAACTAGAAGCTTCCATATCTCTTGCCACGTCCTACTCACTGAAGTAAAATCCAGGGAAGAAATTCACCTAAAGCTTAAGTACACCTAAATCCCTCAGACAGCTTCAGCTGCATGAGCCTGAAGACACGAAATTAAGTATGCCCTGCAAGTACACCTGATTAATGCCCGATCATTGCATGCAACACAAAATAGGTTCAGCTAGTTAAAAGCTTTTTCAAATTATGCAAGATCCAGCACTTCAGAAAGGAGCCACTGCAGTTAATACTTCTGTGAATATACGGACATGTCATTGATTTAAAGTTTTTAATGAGATACCTGCAATTTATAACATCGTGACATTTATGAGCCTCACCACATCTGTAGGACTTTAGTTTTCAACAGATACAGTTCTCCTGTTGCCAGAAACAGCACGCATACAGAGGTTGATGAGAATATACCACTGCAGTACAGGAAGTCAGACACCTTCTCTCTGCAGGCTTGTTTTGAATTCTTTATTGAGGTTTAAGAAGTCATCCACATTTCTATAAATATAGACATTACTTGAGTAAGTGACTTACAATGTCACCAGTGCAGGTACATATATAACCAACATACAAAAGCTCCACTGGAAGCTACTTTAATTTATTCAAAAATGACCAAGATGTCATAAAAAAACAGCTGTCACTTTCAGTTATTAAAGACGCTAAAGTGCATTTTTGGTTACCTCCTAGACAAACAGCTGCTGGGTAAAAAGTTGTTTTTTTGTTTTTTTTTAAACATGTCTAAGTTACATTGACTGACATTCAGGTTTGTAGCTGTCATCCTCCTGTTACATGGCAGCAGGTAAGAAAAATGTATTTGCTCGTTAAGTAAGAGGACAAAATAGATTTTGCTTTGCCTTTTTTTAATCCAGTATTTCCAAGAAAAGTTTAAAGAGAATATAACATTCTGATGAATTTTTACAGGACAACTAAAGTTAGTCTTAAAAATCCAGGCTCTGTTTTAGCCCTTTCAATGGCTAGCCAAGTATCTACAGAGTCACTCAAAGCTCTGTACCAGTAAGAAAAACTACCCACCCTTTTCTGTCAAGCACTATCCTGCCCAGTTAACACTGTTCGCACACTCTGTAAACAAGAACAGCTTAAAGCATAATTAAAGCAGAACACAGGCCCATCTTGAAAATCTTCTTCCCCGACTCCCTCCCCTCCTCCCCCCACGCAGTGTCAAATGTTTGAGTGTATAAAGCATTACTACATTCCTAACCACAAAATACTTTAAGAGTCACAATAAAAAAAGCATACATTGAAAGCTGACACAGCAATACCGCTTTAATAAAAGGGGGTATATTTTGGAGAGATACAAGATGTTCTCTGCTAATTTTAACTCCATCTTTAATTCATAATAATTTTGTTTTATTGCCAGAACAATCACCAGTAGAGCAAAGAATGCTGCACCGGTTAAACCACAACAGCCAGAGTTGTTCTTTATACCTCCTTTATTGCAATTAATTTAACTTGATAGCAGGAGGATGTAATACTTTTAATTCAGGAATAATTTACTAATTTTGAGTAACAGTTTAAACCTGATTAGCACTGAATAGTGATGAGTGGCTACTTCTAAAAAAGAAAAACCTTATATACTAAAAACATGCTATATGTTGAAAAACCACTTCTTCATGCTCCAACCTGTTGTTTACATTTTTTACCTGTTAAAAAGTCTTTTATCGGTTGAAGAACTCACAGCACTCAAATTTCAAGTATTTGAACTGAGCACAAGTCAACTTCAAAAAGTGCCAAATTAAAAAAAAAAACAAAAAAACTATGCATGTAGCCAAGCTTCCATGGAAATCCCCAAACAAGGTAAAAAATAGCCTCTTGAAATAATGGGTTACTAGCCTCATACATGTTTTTAAAGCTGTATAACGTTCACCTAAACACTCCATTTACGAGCATTAGAAGTTTAAAAACACAGAACACCTTTGATGCAAACTGATTGCAGAGGGCACCCTCAAACATATTAATACAAGACTAAGCAGAAACCTCTCATTTTATTTGGCTATTTAAATATCCATTTCACATATACCCACCCATCCATTTCCTGATAGTATTACATCATCTATTAGGGCTTCTGAAATAATGCAGAGCCATAAAACTCAGAAGAGACTAGTTTAGAAAAAAAAAAAAAAGTTCCATAACTGCACAGCTTTCCACATGGCAAGGCTGTGCAATTGATTAATATAACTAAGCTTAACAGCATCCAAACAAGCAGGCCTGGGTTTGGAAGCTGTCTTATGTCAAATTTTGACCATGTAACTACTCTAAAATAGAAGAGTCAAAATAGAATAACTCATCTCTTCTTTTTCTGCTGCCTCAACATTTTCCTTCGCTTAATTATCATATCATGTAGTTTCTCCAGTCCCTCTTTGAGTCCATCGCCAATGATTGCACAGGTGGGCTGCAAATGCCAGGGAGTTGAAGAACTCAGCTCACTCATTGCTAACATTTTCTCGATTTCAGACAGGGAGAGAGAGTTCCTCAAGTCCTGCTTGTTAGCAATGATAAGGACAGGCACTCCTTGATTTTCAGATATCCTCGTAATCTTATGAAGTTCTGTTTTGGCCTCCTCCATTCTCTCAACATCGACGGAGTCCACCACAAAGACAATACCATCGGTGCACCTCGTGTACGACTTCCACAGGGGCCTCAGCTTCTCCTGGCCACCTACATCCCAGAAGTGGAAAGTGACCGTCTTCGAGTTGCCCAGCGTCACTTTGATTTTCTCCGTATTAAACCCTTTCGTGGGAACAGTGTTGACGAATTCGTTAAACTGCAGTCTGTAGAGCACGGTCGTCTTTCCAGCGCAGTCCAGTCCCAAGATGACAATGTGGAAACTCTGGAAGGAAGGCAGGCTGGAGAGGATCGGCGTCTGGTCCGAGAGTCCATTCCCCATCGCCAGCAGGGGAGGTGACAG